AAAGTATACGAGCTTTATTGTTTATTAATGAAACTGATGAATTAGAAAAAGATATAACATTCCGCGTGAATACAAGATTATTGAAACTTGTTTATTACTTCTCTAAAAGACCCTCTTTTTGTCTCAAAAATGTAACCGAATCGCACATACACTAGATATTTGATGTTGTTAATGTAAATAAGTGTGGGATGGTTGATTTACAAACACAAATTTCAAAATAATTTTATAATCGAAGTACAAAAAAGAAGAAACAAAAAGTATATGTAAATAAAACATTTATTCAAAATATATCGAATTCCTTGTTAGAATAACGCAAATCCCATGTAAACAAACGAAGTTCTTCAGAAATCAGAATATGGCTAAGTAAAACTAAATACACTAATTAGGTATAAATCGGCATCTGTACAAATCGTTGACTATTTCCAGTGCATAACCTGAAACAGTATACGTAATGTATCACAAATTAAAATAATTGAAGGAAGTATGTGAAGTTTCGATAGCAAATTCATTATAATCAAAAAATTTGACGTTTCATACATTTTGGCTAGGGTTAAGATTATATTAGAAACCATCAAAAGAAAGTTGAAATAATTCATTACACCTCAACATTCTACAGATTGTATGCACTCATAAGCTCACATAAAATGCATAATCATTATTATTATTGGCTTTACTTAATATTATGTTTCGTACATTATGGAATTTCCAACACATATATCTTGAAGTAAGAATTAATTTTCTGTTTAGGAATCCAATGATAAAAACGTTTACAATGAACAACGATCCCTACTTAAAACGTTATCGATATGTTACTTTTGATCGCTAATTAATCAACTTCACAAACAGCATCCTTTACTAGTTCATGATGAATATTACCCTCATAAAATATTCAGTGATGACTTGATTAATTAACTACTTATACATAGGTTTTCTTGTCGAATTATAAATACTAGAAATATTCTACTCTCGAGCGACAAACAAGAAACCATAAGGCGAAATGTAGTAAACAAGATCTACTATTAAGGTTAGTTCATGTACAAAACACAAGGGTATTTTTAAGCCTATGTGATCGCAGAAGTGCCTAGAAACATGACAAAATCAATAAGAATGCCGTTCATTATCTAATCATAACTCGTTAAAGAGTTTCTAGAGAAATCTAACTAAATGAAGTATTTTATTCATTTTCCTAGTCTCTAAAAACTTTTTTAAGAATTAATCAAGAGCTACTAGTAAATAGACTTCATTAAATTCATTATTATGACTACTTAAACAAATTTGACAATATGTAAAGAAATTCGCTTTGTAACAAATATACTCCAAGTATTAAACGGCTATAAATAGAAATTTATAGAAATTAGTTTAAAAAAAACATAAGTCCACCCACTTAATTCATCTGATTCCAACATTAAATTTAACATACTTTAACTGTATTTATAATTGGTAAACTTCATCAAGTATTGAACACAGACTAACTAACAATGTAAACAGTGAATCATTTCTAATCACAGTCACATTTATGTGGTTTATTCAGGAAAGCAGTCAGAAAGTTATAATTAATAAGTCAGTTATTTAGTTCTAATTTTAAAACAACTGCAAAGCTGAACACAGTCAGTTCTCGAATACTCATATCATTCAACTTTACCTAATAAATGAGTAAGTAAATTGAATACTATATATTGTATCATAAATATGTCTTATATCAGTAGACGTTATGTACATATGAATCAGTAAAATATTTTTAAATCTAGTTCCAGCTAATCCAACTATATTCATGTCAAATCAAGCAGTTATCAGTAACTTATGAACTTTTTCATCAACTGATAGTCTATTTATAGATTTCAATAATGTCATGATGTGGTTGATGTGAAGTAATTATTTCACGATTGTTACATATTTTGTTTACCAATATTATAAATAATTAGGACAATATGTGTTAATCAACCAAGTCCATATCACATTTCAATAAGTTATGAGATTTTAAAAAAACCTAACAAGATCACCATATAAGGGCTAGTAAAATAAAGTTTGTTATTAAAAGTAAAATAGCATATCTTTACAATAGTGAATAGGATCTCGTAATCTTAGATTGTCAGTCACACATAAAACATTTTAACCCTTTCAATTTCTAACCGGAAATTGTATAAAGTACACTTGAACATTGGCGAATTATTTTGCAATGACAAGTCATTTTCATGAATGTTATCCTTAAAGAAGTTCTTAATTAAAATGAATGACTTGTGTCTGATAAAATATAATTTACAACAGATTAAATATCCGTTTACTAATTTATTCATAATCAATTTAAAAATGCAAGACTGATACTGTTTATAGCATTTAAGTTCTCATAGAATACCCGATAGTCTTTTGTCAGGAATTTTACAAATACCGGTCAAAAAGAAGTGATTATTGATAAATAATCTGATGAAATGTGGAAAATACTTAATATAATAACAGAACACTTTAAAAATAGACTTCACCTTGATATAACCACAACAAAAGGAAATCAGGAGAAATGGAATGAAACTTGTAAGTGTGAAAGATAACAATTGTTGTGCTTTGTTTAAAACAGTAAGTTTTCTGAATTTTCGTTAATGCCTAAATGTAAAATTTACTAATAGGAATTTATGATTAATTATATAAAGACAATAGGGTATCAGACGAAAAACAATTTATTTAAAAACGATTTCAAGTCGAAATATTCAATTTTACATATATTAAAACTATTGAAGAAAGTGTAAGTCTAACAGAATTAAAAAATAACTAACAGTTTATAATGTATATCGAATACAGTAAATAAAGACCTATGCAATATACAGTATATTATTACTTTCAGACAAAATAAAAGCACAACTATACACTTAGTCTTGACTGAATATTCTCTGTACTAAATGATTTTAATTATAATACTTTTAAGAACAGAATTAAAAACAAAATAGTCCAACAAATATATTTTAGAGGCTTTATAATAATTGAATCCTGAAAATATATCACATGCTTATAATCGAAATGTGTCACCAGATATTTCCCAAGAATTAGAAGCGGTTTCATCATATTATCTCAGACATTTCAGGTATCAGACAAAAAATTTATAGATTAGAATCATTTCAAATTTTTTTTTATACAACTGGGAACATTGATTGAGATTTTCGAATATTAGTAGGAATTCAAATTTCTGATGAAATCAATAATCCTAAAAAATACCATGTTGAGTTTAAAGTATTAGGTTCAATCATATTATGAGATTAACATACTAACGATCAAAAATGTCTAGATAAGTTACTTTGTCAAATTACTCCAGTTTAATAAATGAAAGTTTTTACAAACTAGGCATATTATTATGAGATTAATGGTTCTGAGAATACCTGCAATTATGTAATTTTATTAACTTTTAGTGATTAGTATTTTAAAGTCGATCTATCCTAATTTGACCTACTTCCTATGTTAAACTACTGATTAGAACTTCTATTTTATTTTTTCTATCACTACTGGTACACCTGTTCTCATACTGTCAATTAGTACTTTTTAACTAGTAAATGTAGTTATGCAATCTTTTTCATTGTAATCATTGATTGTTTCAATATTTTTATGTAACTTTATGAAAATCCTGTATGTTACAATAAGGCATGTTAATAATCCCGTTGAAAAATAGATTCAGTCAACTTGGTAGTCTAAAGGCAAAATAGTTTTCATAAGTAATTCATTTGAGATACGTGTGAATTGCAATAAATACTACAAAGCGATCTACTTATACTGTTGAACTCCGCAGTAAAATGCCACCTCACATCTCTAGGGAACGAATCCAAGTGATAAGCATTGTAACTCCTCAACTAACCTATAACATAAAATGTACTTTTTCGTTTTATCTTACTTTACTCAGTCCATGGTGCATTATGACCTTCAAGAAACCCCAAAATTGATGTGATTTTTATTTGTAACACAGCATAGAATAAAACTCATTATTTCCGTTTTCATGTCATTCGTTGTTGCTTGATACAAAAGTTAATAAACGGATAGTGAAACTTTATATCCTTTCGTTCGTTTTCATGTTTATAAGAAAAAAACAATATGAACAAGTTAAGTAGAACTATGTGAATTCACTTTATTAAGTTAGACCCTCATTGACTTCTCGTAACGAGTAATGTTTCAAAACTAAAATGACAAGTAAAGTAACTGAAAAAATTGTATAAATGAAATTTTCAGCATAGTGTTGTGGAGATGTTGAGTTTCAATTGAGATAACGAACCGACCAATGTTGGACCAACATTGAAAATTTGAACCGAGGGTCCTGGATGTGTCCCGCATAGAGGAATCGTGGATGCGTACTGCTGTGGGGTCACGTCCTAGGATGAAACGGCCGCTCAGTTTTCCCATGTATTTAATGATGGTCTAACATTGGTCAGTTCACGATCTTAAAAAATAAATTTAGTTGGAACTTTGTATACAGACTCAACTGCACAGTGTAGGTAATATTAAAGGCAAAAGAATATCCTACAACACTGTTATAAACAAATAAGTATAGGGATATAAATAGGTGGTTATGTAGTCGAATAAAATGACAGGCTTAAACAGTTGACAATGAAATTGTAGACTAGAAGTGGATAGAAAACAATGTTGTAACGGAATAACCAAATGAGGGGAAAAGATAAAGAATATGCTATTCTACCACCTAAGCTACAGAAAGAATGAAAACTAATTCGTTTTGTAAAAAATAAATCGGGTTTCAGACGAACAAATCGGACTTAACTATAGAAAGTTCTGACTTATTGGTTTACTAATGATCTTAAAAGGTTTCATTTCTCAGTTGAGCAACGGTTAGAGATTGGATGCTTAGAGTTGACCATATCTATGATTAGCCTGATGTTTAACTGATATTTTTCTGGAGAGTTTAATTTTATAACAACCTGATAATTTAACTCAAATATTTGGAATTCTGAATTAAAAATTCCTTTTCAGTATATTATGATTTCATACTGATTATAATAAGAGCCAAAGTGATTTACTATATTATGATTATTAAACTATATAGGTTTACCAAACACAAATGAGGACGTTCTATAATTAGACATGATATTAAATTTGTTTTTGAAGCACTTGCAAACGAATGTGATCTCCATGAAATAATAAGGTAAACAATGTGATTTTTAAGATAAGACTAAGGTAAAAAAAGGTTTATTAATTGTTTTTAGGAAACAAATTTTGAAACATTCTGTGAGAGTGATTAAAGCTAGAATAATACAAAAGAGGTAGTATGGACTACTTTAAGTAAGTTCCTATCCATCTACTAACTTACTTTGAATGATGAGTCACTTGTAATAGAGTCAATTTCTATTGTCTCTATGTGTGATTTTCATTTGATGCATGAAAATATGTTCTAACTGTTACATTGACTTTATATACTTCTCATTTTTATTTTTAAGCTTTAAGTATTTTAAATGACAACTTAGTAAACTGAATTTAAATGGTTTCATTCGAATAATGTTAATTCATAAGAGTGAAATAATCTCTTTTTCTGTACGATTTTAACCTGTTGGTCAACTGAGTAGTAAAAACATAAAATTCTTGATAAATTCTCCTACCATGTTTTATGTTGTTTTGACAATCTTTACTAGTCACTTTAATGGTAAAAATAATAGCAAACTAATGAAAATTATCTAACTTACGCCGGTTACCCCTCGTGGACGAGCATATACTGCCCACAAACATTCTACATCCAACTTTATACTGGGCAAACCTTTCTAGTCATTTCCTGTTGCTATTCATCCTTTACATATCTGTTCCCAATTCTCAACTCAGTGTCTTCCTTGGTATTCCTCTCTTACTTATCCCGTTAGGATTTCAAGATAGCGCTTTCCTTGTGATGCACTTTGATGATTTGCGTAATTTATGTCTTATCCACTTCCAACGTCTTTTCCTAATTTCCTCCTCAGCTGGAAGCTGGTTTGTCCTGATGGTATCCGGTCAACGGATACTGAGCATCTTGCGTAGACATCTGTTTATAAATACTTTTACCCCAGATGATGGTTGTAGTAGTTCTCCAAATTTTAGCTCCTTACAATAGAACAAACTGTCTTGACGTTCGTATTGGAGATTTCGACTTTGGTATCAGTTGACAGTTGTTGTGAATTCTATATGTTCTTCAGTTGTATGAATGCTGTCCTTGCTTTGCCAATCCTCGTGTTTAAGTCTGCATCATAACCTCCTCCTTCATCGATGATGCTAACCAGGTATGTGAAAGATTCCACATTTTCCAGAGCTTCACCATCCCTGTTATGCTTGAGGAGATCGCTTTTTCCTTTGTGTATGTTTAGGCCTACTGATGCGGAGGTCGATGCTACACATGTTGTCTTCATCTGCATTTGCTGGTGTGTATGAAATAGAAGGGCCAGGCCATATGTGAAGTCCAAATCGTCTAATTGATTCTGAGCTGTCCATTGTATGCCGCGCTCCCCCTCAGATGTCGAGGTCTTCATAAACCAATTGATTACCGGAATAAAGATGAAGGAGGAGAAGTATCAGTCTTCTCTGACTCCAGTCCTTATTTGGAATACGTCTGTCAGCCGTTCTCCATAAACGACTTTGCACTGTAGTCCATCTTATGAGTTCCGGATAATACTGACAATCTTCTCAGATGCTCTATAGTGTCGAAGAAGTTTCCATAATGTTCTCCTATTCACACTATCATAGTCAACGAAGTTGATGCATAGTCACGAGTTCCATTCAACTGATTGCTCAACAATGATCTATAGTGTCATGATTTGGTCTGCGCATGATAGATCCTTACGGAATCCAGCCTACTGATTTCGAAGTCGGGCGTCTACTGCGTCTTCCATCCGAGTCGGTAACACTCTGTTGAAGACTTTCCCTGATACTGACAGTAGTGTAATGCCTCTGTAATTCTCACATTTGCTCAGATCTCCTTTCTTTGGTATTCTAATGAGGTTTCCCTCTTTCCAGTCTGATAATGGCGCTTGTTCTTCCTCCCAAATCTTCCTGAATAAAAAGTGAAGCATGTTTGAAGTTGCTTTTATGTCTGACTTTGGTGCTCCAGGTGGTATGTTGTCAGGTGCTACTGCTTTTCCATTGTTGATTTATCTGATGGTCAACCTGATTTCTTCCGTCGTTGGTAAAGTGACATCCATAGAAAGGTTTGTGTGTGATGCTTCGATGTCGGGTGGATTTAATGAAGCTGGTGTATTCAAGAGTTCCTCAAAGTACTCTACCCATCTGTTCCTTTGTTCTTGAATCTCCGTGGTTGTCTTGTCTTCTTTATCCTCGACCGGTATTTCTGGTTTACTGTATTTCCCTGCTAGTTTCTTCGTTGTCACACAGTTGTTTCATATTTCCTTCTCTTGCAGCTTCCTCCACTGTCGTTGCTAGGTCTTCTACGTATTTCTTCTTGTGGTGGTTTCCTTTTTTCCAAGTTGATATTGTGAGGATTGGAACTTGTTGTCGAAATATATTTTAAATTCGTTGAGTTTGTCAGTAGCCGGAAGGAAGGCTGTATTAAATCTTTGTAATGCTGTTTCTGCAGTTGTCAAATACTTCTTTAGCTTCAGTTTCATCTTGGCAACCACCAGCTAGTGATGATCTGAAGCTATGTCAGCTCCTATCATGGTTCTCACGCCTTCTATTGACCTGCTGAATTGTCTGGTGATACAGATATTATAGATGTGGTCCTGCGTAGTGTGGTCCGGTGAGACCCATGTAGCTATGTGTATGTGTTTGTGGGAGAATATAGTGCTACATATAACCACTTTGTTGAATGCACATGAATTCACAAATCTCTTACCATTCTCGTTCATTTATCCCAGTCAGTCCATGTCGTCCCATGATATTTTCATACTCCATATTGTCCATTCCAACTTTGACGTTTAGATCCCCAATCAGTATGCTCATGTCTTTTCCTGGTCACTTCTCTACGATCCATTGCAACATCTTATAAAACTAATCTTTATCATCATCGATATTATCGTTGGTTGGTGTATAACGTTGGATAACATTGATTGTGATTTCCCCTTATTTGTTTTGAAGGATGGTTTGATGATTCTGGATTCGTGAGATTTTCATCCCATAAGTGCTTTTCATGCTTCTTTGGACAGCGTTGGAGCAACTCCTTGAGTGTGTAGACCCTTTTTTTCCTTACTACGAGATCACAGTAGCAACTCTACCGAATCTGTCTATTATCTATGTTTTTGTAAATCTAGAGCTTAATTTAAAAATACTTGAGAGGCTTTCTGAGAGCGGCGGTGCTTAACTTATTTTTTGGCGGAATAATTAAATGATATTATAATTAAATAAGAATGAAATATCTTTAATTACTTATTTATTCCCCATTTTTGGCACAGCCAAACTTCAAAATAAATTATTCAGCTTTTCAACAATTATAGATTCAATCAAATTATGTGGATCTAATTCGCATCTGAGCACAAGTACTTAAAGAAAAAAACAAAATGTTGATAAATTAATTAGCCTTTGTTTGATCAATAGTGCTTTAGCTACCGGAGCGATAGATACATGATTTGAATACCGTGCGACATCAACACTAGATATGTAAAGAAGAGTTTCAAATTAGACAAACGTGTCCTTGTTCTTAATTTTAGTCTGTATACTGTTATGTACATTAATTGTACGACTTATCAAGCCACCAAGTTTTATATTTATGACATAGTACAAAAATAAAGCCATGATCTTTGTCAATACACTAATTAACCGCAAGAAAATGTAATGGTTATTAATAAACTAAACAAAGCATTTTTTATGTAATATAGTAGCCTATTTTTATCTATGAAGGTATGCGTAAAACAAGATTAATTAGGTCATATATATATATATATATATATATATATATATATATATATATATATATATATATATAAACCAACAGTTTACGTATACTAAAATGCTTCACTATAAGATACATACGCCAGAAAATGGGAGGCGCATCCATCTATGTAAGTATGGTTAAATTATTCGTTTATTTGTTATTCTTTTTCAAACTACCATTCTCGATAGTAATGATTTTCATTAGACCACGACACTAAAAAGCCAGTTAGCTCTGTAAAATTGTTTTAATTTAAAACAATTAGGCTTAATACCCAACAAACTCATATAGGATCGAACTCAGGACTTCTGGGTTTATTATGATTATACAACTTTCATACTGCTAAATCACAACACTAAGGTACGGATTTTTAATTTCGATCAATTTGTGAAAGTATTCTTCATTACGTTTAGTCAGTAAACTAACTTATCACTCGTGGTATATCAAAACAGTGAGGAACCTTTTTTTAGGCCATTCAGGTGTGATCATATGGTCATTATTTAATAAGACAGTTTTTTTCATTGACTTCATACTACTTGGAAATTATGTTTTTCCAATTACCACTAAACACTGAAAAAAGTCTGATATCTGAATTTAAGCTACAAATTACCCAGTCTTACATACCAACTACTTCGCGTGAGATTGGCATCCAAAGATCATGGACCAATAATAAAAATAATTCGATTGTATCTTAATTAGCACACAAATATCTAAATAAAAGTAGGCATCTATCATATACTCAATAGTCTCAGTGGTTTGCTAGTTGTTATTATTTTTTGTTGAATTATGGTTTACCAAATTCCTAGAAATTCGCTTTAGTAAAAAGCAATGTTTGAAAAGAATAGCATTTCATTTTCAACATGCAACAGACACAGTTTTCATATTGAAATGCTCAATCATTACTGTAGTTTTTGATTAATTGACAGACATAGTTCTCGTCAGAAGGAAGTCTTCCAGAGTTATTCTAGGTCTTATCTCAGGCAAATGTTTACAGAGAATCCACATTGACATTTAACGCAAACTTCTTTTTAAAGATAATCATATTGGGTTGTCAGGGCTACTTTATGATGATCAATGATTTATTTGTTTGGTCTGTTATCTATACATACTTTATTCTTATGTTTTCCTCTGTTCTTCAACACGAGATATGCCTATTCTACCGGATGTTCAAATTTAGTTGATTTGATTTCCTTATTAGTAGATCATCTATTATGTTTCTTCTTGATGAAATGCACCCGTGAACAAAACGAATACAAAAATCAAATAAATAATCTAAAGTTCAAAAGAAAATTAGTTGAAGTCCTAAAACAAATTGCTTGCCCAGTTAAAAACTTAACATAGAGCTTAGTACATGCACAAGTCGGTTTGAGTTGCATCTGATTTGCACCACAAGATCAAACTATTAATGAGAATCACAGATTAATAATACTAGTATTAATAATAGTAGTAGGAGTGGAAAAGAATAGAAATAAACAGTATGATACGAGAAGTAATGATTTCATCGAATAAAGTAAAAAGCATAAGATAATTTTGGGACATAAAATCTAAGGGAAGACAAAATGTGAATGTATCTGCAACACTGCGACCAATCCTGAACATTATCTCCGGACTTCTGAAATCCCGATTATTGCAACTGCGTAGACCCCAACCTAGTAATCTGAATCGGCCTATACGATACAATCCGACAGTTATTGAGTTCATGGACCGATGCAATGTATTGCATCGAATTTTACACTTGTTCTACCCACTCTTAAACACTATTTCATTAAGAGTCATGTTCTTGTCAAAACGCTTAGGGGTTGTTATTTTCATTCAAAGTTTTGTTTAGCACATGATATGCCAAACAGAGGTCTTAAAAACACTGGAAATGAATTACTTAAGACGTTATTAAACACGGTTAAAAATAAAAGCCATTGATATACCTATTGAAGTTTTCCACTATAGTTTTTAAAGATAGTATACAAAATAATTTAATTATACGTAATCTGTTTTCGTTATAATCCACCTCGTAGTTTACCGCTTAATCCAAACGTCTTCAACATTTTAAAATGATTTTGTAATACTGACTGAACCAAAGCATATACATTAATGTAGGAAGTTATGAACAATCAATTCTTAGTGTTGTAAATAAACAGTACTTTTTATACAAGGTTATCGTACTGTCAATATCCGTTTAGTCCTTGGTAACCTGATGAAAATCTAGTTAACTTTTTAATATTCAGTATTAAATGTTCTTAATCAACGTTAAGAAACATATATGAATTGTAGGTGATATGAGTCAAAAGCGAAATCACTTGGAGTGCCTCTGAGATCAAGAGAGGAGTTGGAAGCTATAATTTTATCACTGAAACTCTCTGTAGTGTCCGCTCTAAATACCGCTAAAGATAGAAGTCGTTCTATTTAAACCTCGTGGTTAGAGTTTGATTCTTAGATCACTGAAATGCTATCCATTGACTTAATTTTATTTCATGATGATGACGATTGTCTTACTCTGGACACAGTTCATCTGTACGACCACACACTAGAATCTTAATAACTTAACTTGAAGCAGCACACCGGCCAGTAGATGACTATTATAACTCAAACATTTAGTGGTTTCATGAGTTCATACTGCTGGAGACTTTTATGATTAAACGAAACAGCTGTGAATTGTTCGTTAGTTTATTTATACTTTAGAAGATGCCTGTTCGCAACAGTCTTTATTTATTAATTAAAACAATCTTGAAGTAACTCGACAACAATATAAGTTGTCTAAATTGGTTATTCACATATTTTGTGGAGCTAGAATTAAATGACTTAGATGATGAATATTTAATCTTTTGGTTTAATGGATCAAAAACCACTTAACATACCTACTTGCACGTTGCTACATATTTTGGTAAACCATAAATATTATTATTAAATTGCTTTTATCTAATTTTTCCTTTTGAAATAACTTCAATATTTTTTAACGTTTTTAACAGTTCCATTTAAAACGACTATGGAGAAAAAGATCGACGAGTTGAAAAAACGTTTCGATGAATTAGACAAAGATAAAGATGGCTCAGTGACATTGAAGGAATTCAAAGAGGAATTGTTAATTCAAGGGTTTCCAGAATGCTTAGCTTCTGTAAGTTAGATTTCCGTCTTTTATTATTACAGAAATAATAAGCTGTCTTTATATTGTTTTATATATCCTTACCTTGGAACTTTATGAACTCTTCTTGAAGTCGTGACTGTTAGATTTTAGTTATCACAGATATCATTAGGTGATATTAGAATAAAATCACCGAAATGTTTAAAGTTGGTTTATCCCAAAATAATCCAAAGATATTTTAAGATCTAAAGGTTCTAGATTTCTATGAGGTTGTGAGTTCATATTGCTGAAGAGTCCCCATAACAGATTGAGTCCAATGGTTTTATAGCTGCTATAGGTTTGTTATATTATCTAATTTTGGATCTCAAAAGTTACTAAATAATACAGGATAATATAAATGAGAAACAAATAATTTTTGAAGTGTTCACACTGAATAAACTCCCTTATATGTTCTGATCCTATTTAATGTATAGAAGTGTGTTAAATTGCATACAAATCTCACAAATTCTACAAATGTAGTGAAAGAAATAAACACTTTAGTATTGATGACTGTTTTATTGATATTTCTCAACATTTTCAATACGTTTAGACATAATTACTTTTTAGTTTTTAATCTTCACATTAATATTAAAATACCCTGGTACGATTGTTCTCTGTAAACATCTAAACAGACATCGCATTATCCACATAACCTTAATGATTTTTTGTTATTTTTCTTCATTAAAAATTTTTATTTAAAAGTTGAAAGTATTCAGAATTAAGAGTTAAATCAAGCTATTAACGTTATGACTGCTTCTTAAGTATCAACCAACTTTACTTAATAACTAATTTATTCTAGTTTAGAACTACTCAATAATGTACATCAATTCTAGACAGTATTCTAGAAAGTTGAGGACGTCTAATAAACTGATCTCTATTTTAAACTTAATACAATTATTAAAACGTAAACTGATACGACAGTACAACAAGATATCAGATAAAGAAAAAATACAAACTGTAGATCTAAACTAATCTACGTTTATGAAAAATACTAATCCATTGTATACACGTATTATAATTTGTCTTCTATGGTGTTTATTTTCAAACGTATGTTAATTGTTCGCGAACAACAAGTCCATTTTTATAAATGAAATTAGTATATTTTGATGATTTCAAACTAATCTCAACATTAGAAATCTTTTCCTGTAATTCACTGAACTGTAAAGTGAAGCATATAGTTCTACAGTATTCTGGATTTTAATGACAAATTATTACTTTAGATTGATATATTTTCTTTCCTTTAACTTGAAACCATTATATCTTTTATTCTTTATTATTTTTAATATACAGAAATTTATGGTAAAATTTGATCATGATAAAGATGGGAAAATTACCTTAGATGAATTTGTCAAAACACTTTTATGCACGGATGATGTGAGTTAATCCTTAATTATACATACATTGAAAACATCAAATGATAGACTTATTCTGATCCGACTACGTCATATAACATCTTTGCAAAAGTCACTAGACTTAAAAACAATCATGATGAGATAGTAACATATTGATAAGACTAAATAATATTGATACCACATCAAAAATTTCACCAGGTTTAAATTATGAAGCAAGGTGTTTAAGTGACGAGAAGTGAAGGTCTTTAATGCCCTAAAGTGGGCTCCATTTTGTGATCAGAATCACTTCCTAACTATGGAAAACATGCTAAAACTTTAAAAATGTTTATTAAACTAAGTAGTCAAAAATTTCAGAAATTCGACGTAATTATTATTCTCGTCATCCGATTTCCTTTCTAGAATGTTCACTTACTTATCAAAACCAAACTGATAAATAATTCTTACTAACTCCTCGATATCTGTCACAATTCGTTATTCTAATACTACAAGATCTATCACCTTGATAAATAGCTTCCTTAAACGTGATACTTGTGTCTACATTTATTTTTTGAATAAATTATACCAAGTTTTATAGATAGAGACGGATGATGACTAGCAGTGATCAAGGTTGATAATAAGAGAAAACGTCACGTCATTTTTTACACATCATGAATTCAAACAATATACGTCATTAGATTTGAATTTTCAATTAATATTTGATAATTTGCAGATAATATGAAATACTGTCGTCTAGAGTGATTGCTGGATGTGCTATTTGATAGGAGCTGATGACTAGAGTAAGACTATGTTCAAAAAACTTTATTAACGATGGATAGAGACATATTGTCTGTACGTAAAATCACTAACTACTGACCTCAACTTTTAAAGAATCATTTGTTATCTGACTTGTTTATTTGAAGGGTTAGGAATATGAGACTGGAGAGATGGTTTATATACATATATATGATTGGCCAGTTTTTTCCCTTATCACCAAAACATGGATATTTTTTAAATCAGACACCTCTGTTATTGAATCTACGTTGGCTTGTTTGTATAAATATTTACATTCACCTGATATTGCATTATTTGAATATTCCCATTGATGTTTAGGACTGCACTTGATCAGTCTCTTATTGGCATTTGTGCATTCTGTGCGTATGGCCTCGTTATTGCCTTAATTTACAAGCATTATAAGCAAAGATGGATAGTGGCTAGTAGTGGAATGCAGGACGCGCGTTTCGTCCTATTTGGGACTCGTCAGCTGGATGTGCCTGCATCTCAGAGTTGATGTTCACTGTGGGACTCGAACCCAGTACCGTCCGCTTCAAACGCCATCGCGTTATCCACTTAGCTTATAATGCTTGTAAATTAACGCAATATCGAGGCAATACGCACAGTATGCACATATGCCAATAAGAGACTGATCAAGTGCAGTCCTAAACATCAATGGAAAGATTCAAATAAATATAAAAAAACAAAATCAAGTGAATTAAACTTCACCCCATTTCATAAGCAAGTGGCTTTCAGGACTCAGTAGCTAAGTGGATAACGCGATGGAGTTTGAATCGGACGGTACTGGGTTCGAGTCCCAGAGTGAACATCAACTCTGAGATGCAGGCACATCCAGCTGACGAGTCCCAAATAGGATGAAACGCGCGTCCTGCATTCCACTGCTAGCCACTATCTATCTTTGCTTATAAAATATTTACATTCTTTGTATTGAATATAGCAGACATGAATCTGTTCATAACTCGTCCAAATATTTGAAATATCAATCTCAACTGAATGTATGCTTAGATTAAGATTTTCCAGCGATTTTTTCAACAAACTCAGATATCGTCTGACACTCGTTTCTTTTCTTTACTTCTTATCTGTTTTAAAATAGAATGCTGTTTCACCAAAAGCTGAATAACCTGTACGAAATCATTCACGCGTGCATGCATTTGTATTTTGTCAAGATAAGAGAGAAAACTGTTTTTTGTCTACCAATACCGGCTTTGTCTTATTTATTGATTCCAGTTCATGTCATGTGTTTTAAGTTATTTGAATGAGAAATAATTTGTGAACTATTAAAATTTGTTTAATGGCATATTTTTGTTAAGATAAATATAATAAACTTCCTAAAAAATGATAGCTATGTTGTTTTTAATCTATATTTCTGTCCACATGGTTGTATATCTAGGTCTTTTGATACAAGAATGCTAAAATGAAGTTAGTTCTTCATATGAAATGGTATGTAATACTCAAATTGTATCTGGGCGAACAATCGTAATTTACTTATCAGTAGTGTATTTATTGTCATTAATAGAACAGTCAATAATATTGATAAGACTAATAGTCATGGACGAAACAGTATTTAGGTCACAATAAGTACAACATCGTTAGTCTGACTAGTCAAGAACTATTGGTTTAAATTTTTTTTTAAAAAAAAACTGAAATTATGAATCACTGAATCTTGTAGCTGTTCCTTTTTTTGTGAGACTTGTCAGTAATGTCCTCAAATTATTTCACGAACCTGTCGAACTTACGATGACTTAGTCTCGCGAAAAGTATGACTTACTTTCAGCCATTGAGCAGAGATCCAATAATTAATACATTCAACTTTAACTGATTGACTGTATAAAACGTGAACGCCATTTAATCTTATCAGTGATCTAGTATTTATATCCTCAATTCAAGCTAACACTTTTATTTGTCTTTAAGAAGATTTTATGTAAAATGCTGAAAACTTTTCTGGGGATAATGTTCATACATTAAATATTACATATGAAATCTTTATCTTCCTATTTTAAATTTAATTTTTACACCATAATTTTCTATAATATTTGTGAAAACGTAAGTTAAAGCATTAGTTCCGTAAGGACATGTGAACAAGGAATGAACATGATGACGTAATAAAAGATTATAAAACTAGATTACTTAACGCGAATAATAAAAATTAAAGATTGTGTGTATGTATATAGGAAGCCTTGTAAAATTCGTGATTAATATAGCGTTGTGGGCACTCTCAGGGTAACTACCGATCCCAAACTCAGGTAAAAACTGAGGTTTATGCATCAGGTCAACAACGCCATCCTGTAGAAAATAGCTTTGCTAAAAACGCTAACCAGATTAAACAACTTACACTACTTGTACCCTGCCCTCAGAGTTGAAGGACCTTTATTCAGAATTATTATGAAGCCTCATGGTGAGAGCTGAGATTCCTGGAAAGTCACGAGACTGATGCCACCTCTAACAACCAGAGCAAGAATTTTTATAGGTACATGGAATGTTCAAAAAAATATGGGTAGATGGGAGGACTAATCAAATAGCTATGAAAATGAGTGAATACAACTTGGCGGTGCTCAGAATAAGTGCTACACACTAAACCGAAGCTTGACAAAAAAGGATGGATTCGGGAGAGATGCTACTATACTCTGGTCGTGAGAAAGAAAGTGCTCTACACACTCAAGGAGTTGCTCCAACGCTGTCCAAAGAAGCATGAAAAGCACTTATGGGATGAAAATCTCACGAATCCAGAGTCATCAAACCATCCTTCAAAACAAATAAGGGGAAATCACAATCAATGTTATCCAACGTTATACACCAACCAACGATAATATCGATGATGATAAAGATTAGTTTTATGAGATGTTGCAATGGATCGTAGAGAAGTGACCAGGAAAAGACATGACCATACTGATTGGGGACCTAAACGTCAAAGTTGGAATGGACAATATGGAGTATGAAAATATCATGGGACGACATGAACTGACTGGACTAAATGTCTATCCAGTGCTTCCAGGTTTTCAATGGTGGTCTAACATTGATCAGTTCATGATCTCGTTTAAAATCAATAAGTTAGCAACGTATTTTAATGTGAATAAAGTAAGGTGTCTAGAAGATTTTTGTTATAATAATCAAAGATAATAGGGGGGGGGTAAAATGAAATTAAAGTTCATACATTATTTTGATTCGTATCGATCTACAGTGGTTTAGTCAAACCAGACTATTAATTTGAATATTCGGGTTTTTTCCTATCATTGAGCATTTTTAGAGCGTAAATTTTCGCATAATGCGAATTTGTAATATTAATTTCTTAAATATGGCGCAGCTTTTTTCACAGTAAAATATCAAGTGACACATAAATTATTTGAGAACACTAATTAGAATTAACGATGAATCCTAATTGGTCGTTTTTATTTTATAACAACATATACAAGCGAACAATAGTGTTTGCAACTAGATATTCATCAGTCTTTACTCTGATATACAGTAATATTTATATGCAAATATTAAACCAATCAAGGCAGTTTATGAGTCAATGATAACAGTGGAATAGATTACATAACTAGACATAATAAGCGAAAAGTACAAATTAGTAGTGTGATGGTAGGTGTACTAGTTGTGATAAAAATAAAATGACTTGAATCAATGTTTTGTAATAGGAAGTAGGTCGATGACTTAAACAAGTACTGAAATAACATTCATTAAAAATTATAAAATGGAGTAACACGAAGTGTTAAGATAATTGGGTGGTGACGGGTATATTTGAATAAATGGAAGTGAATAAAAAATAAATGAACAGTGAGTATGGAAAATAATAATAAATGAAATCGTTTATTAAAGCCAATTCAGTCAACGAGGAGATAAGTGCGTTACAAATTTCATATGAACACTAAGACCAGGGTTGTTAGCTTGAATCCCAATAGCTTCTCCTATTTGTATGATATGTGATCAGACCCCATAAACCAAACTAGTAATTATACGACGGATTGCTTCAAATTATTTATTATCCACCACATAGCAGCTATCGATCAAAATGTAGTTTCGAAAATCATGTCATTTCAATGATACTGATTTGTATTTTGTGTTTAAACATCATAAATAATGAAAAACATCACTTTATTCAAATCCTTCCTGCTAAGTAGTTTTCAGTGATTTTTTACAGATCGGTATAAACTAGACAATGAGTATGACCTAGACACGTTGCATAGGCATTAAGTCCATATTTGCGTTATTCATAGATGGAGGTCAACGCCCATATACCAAAAACCTACAGATTTTCTAACATGCACTATACCAATCAGTCAATAAGAGGCCTCTGATTACATTTCATAACATTAGTTAATTTCAAGCAATTAATCCTCTTAATAAATTTGAATAGTGTAATAAGATGAGGATTATGAGAAACATGTTATGGAATATTCCGCTTTATGTACTTAAAAACAGTTTGTTCTCATTATGAGAGGAAAAATCAATATTCGATTGATTTACTTAATATGAGTTTTATTCATCATTACATTCTTTTGATTCAATGTAATGATTACGCAATGTAATATTTCTTTTCTTTTCTCGTATGATATTTTATCCTGTATAATATATATCATATTCTTGTATTCTATTGACTATGAACTATACTCAGCATATGATTTGTTATAACTGTGAGTATTTTTCATGTATGTGATTTTATTCTAATTATTAATCAAAACGGGTGTACAATCAATATATAAACGAGTATATTTTCTACTAAAGGGACTTCGCTCATTTTCTGGTTGTTGCAGAATATACTTCTTATTTCAAGCTTGGACTTCTCCCTCTTGATAGCGGGGCTGGGGTGCAGCAATAGCTAGCTCACTGGTTATTGGTCATCGAATTTCGTTCTCGTACGCAGACTACGTGAACCCGTGATAGCTCTCTCTCTTCAAACCCTAACACTCATCTTAAACCTACCCTGGAAATATTAGTTTATTATCTAGTGTGGTGAGCTACACATTGTTTTCCATACTAATTTCTTTATTATCTTTGTTTCCTCTTACCGCCTCTTTGTTTAGTTGACACTTTATTTTTATATATAGATGTTCTTAACAAGTATATGTGTGATTAGATTGCTGGATATGTATTGCGCTAATATATCACATAGTTTTGATAATCTTCATCTTCTTATTACATTATCCAAAGTTAGTCACTTTATAATATAACGGAATTGTCAATATAATTAGTTGATTATGATCTCACAAAGCTAAAATGAACCGGTTATACTGAACTATGAATACTATACAAAAAAGCAAACTGGAAAATTTCTCTTTGCAATATATAAATTAGCTGACTAGAAATTTATTACATTGTCTGTAGCGGTAAATGAATCTTTAAAATAAATAGTTCTATGTCTTCGAAATAATCAGTGACCTTACTAGTTTTACTGAACGAACCCTAGCTGAAAGCGCTCGGTCACAAATCTGCACTAGATCACTAATGGGTTCACCGTGCTACTCATCCCTTACAACTACTAGCCAGCTTAAATCAAATGCTTCTCGACTTATTAATGACCTGTAGAATATATCTTCGAACTCCTTCATTTCTGAGCTCTGATTTGAATGGGTTGGTATCCTTTCGACTGAACAGGTGCTAAAGGTAAAGGTATTGTCAAACTCCGAATATCTGCGGCATCTATGTATTCTTTCTCAATTTGTTCAAACTAATTGATGTTGGAAATGCAGGATAAGAATTACTGTGTTAGGAAATCTACATTATCATTCTAAATGAACAGCATTTATGTTTACAGTGTCATAAACTATGAAGATTTAAAGCATATATATATATATATATATATATATATATATATATATAATTGTCGAACCCATCGAAGTGAATCATTACAACTACTACGATTAACCTGCATAACGACTGACGAATGTGAAAAATTTAAAGACCATGGATACACTGTACAAAACAACACTTAATGCAACTGACTATTAGCCACACAGTATTATTTTATTCCAACAAAGGACCTCACATCACAGATATTGAAAAAGTAGAAATAAAAGACGTTTAATTACTATGACTAAACAATATCATAATTCAGAATTTTACGGTCCTCACAATCTGTCTTTTTCATTAGTGGTCTAACATTGGTCAGCTCATAACTTCAATGAAGCTCAACAATCTTCACAACTCTATAATGGCAATTATCATCTGGTTTAGCTTCAAGTGGAAATTCCTGGAATTCTTGTGAGTAGCCGAGACCATTAGAATTCAGCTGTCTCGAGTACCAGGAGGTTACTCAGCGAAGACAGTGGACGATAGCCGAGCGATGTTGTTAGTTGATTGCAGTTTGACATTATTACCTTTGGACGTTAAATCGGTGGTCCAAA